TGTGTGGGGAGGGGGTGGAGGGCAAGAGGGTGGGGTGGGAACTGGGTGGAGGGGAGCTATGGGGGGAAAAAGAGGAACAAATGTAATAATCTGAACAATAAAGATTTCATAAAAAGAAAAAAAAGAAAATAAAATAAAGTAGATCTAAAAAGAAAAAAATAAATAAAGGTAATATAAAGTTGAAAAAAAAAAAAAAGTCCAAGATCAGGGTGTCTGCAGAGCTGGTTGTCTCTCTAACCTGTGAGGGAGAATCTGACCCGTGCTCTCTCCCAGCTCTGTTGTCACCGGCAACCTGTAGCATCCCTTGGCTTGTATTAGCAACCCCCTCATCTCAGCCTTCATTTCCCTGTGGCATCTCCCCATGTGTGTCTTTGTCCAAATTTCTACTTTTTTGTTTTATAAAGGACACCAGTCGTACTGGATTTGGGGCCATGCTACTCCAGCATGGCCTCTTCTTAATTTAACCAATGACATCTGCAAATCGGTTTCCAAATCGGTTCACATTCTGAGGTACTGGGAGTTCGCATGCGAAATATGAAGAGGGGACACAGCTCAACCCATAACACTCTCCCAGAGGCAAAATGACCACATCACATTCCTTTAAATTACCCTGGCATAAGAGTGCATTGACATTTATATTTTTATCCCAAATGGAAGCATTTCCCATGTGAAAACAGACAAAAATCGCATCCTGTCTGCCTTGAGTTCGGGAACCAAAATAATTCAGATAACACGATACCCTTCACTCTCAGGATTCGGTGCACCAACTTCCACTCAGCCTTGCCTCACACCATCCCAGCTCAGGAACCGAACGGATTCGGTTGGTAAGGCATCATTGGACAGGATGTTCTCTGTCCGTGCAAATAGCTGCCTCTTTTTTAATGCATGGTATCCCACCAGGCGGATGTAACCATCACTTATTTAACTGGCCCTCTTTTTGGTGGATATTTGGGGCTTTTTCTCTCTCCATTATTTGTCGCCATAAACAATGGTAAAGTGGATGTTTAGTGTATACACCATATATTTTGCTAAACCAATTGGAAGAAAATGGTATTTCATCGTAATTTTCCTTTCATTGTAAATGAAGTTGAAGACAATTCTTTCATACATTCAAAAGCCATTTGTATTTCCTTTTCCCTGAACTATCTGTTCATATCATCTGCCCCTTCTAAAAACTGAGTCATCGATCCCTTTAATGTTGGTTTGTTGGCACTCTTTGTATATTAGGAAAGTCAGCCCTTTGGTTTTGACGAGTTGCCAATATTTGACCCTTCAGTTTATCATTAGTATTTAGTTTTATGTGTTTTTTTTATTTTAAATATTTTTATTGATTTCAGAGAGGAAGGGAGAGGGAGAGAAACACCAATGATGAGAGAGAATCATTGATTGCCCGCCTTCTGCACGCCCCCTACCGGGGATTAAGCCCACAACCCGGGCATGTGCCCTTGATTGGAATCGAACCGGGGACCCTCCAGTCCACAGGCCAACACTCTATCCACTGAGCCAAACTGGCTAGGGCAGTATTTAGTTTTAGTTAAGGTGTTTTTGCTATGCGGAACTTTTAAAAATCTTTGTGTGGTTGAATAGATCGATCTTTTCTTTGTGGCTTCTGTGGTTTTCCATGTTCCTTCGAAGGCCTTCCTCAGGAAGGCCTAAGGGGGCTCTCGCAAATGTTGAGCTTCCTGGGTGTGTCTTGTTTCTCGCTCACGGAGGGAATCCCTACAATCAGCTCTAAAAGCATTGGCCCTTCTGCCAGGGAAGGAGATCCGGCAAAGCAGCATTACCTTCTTTCCCCCGTTCTGAACCCACCCTCCCCGCGTTCTCCCTAGGAAAAGAAGTCTTATAAGATTCCAGATTTCAGACAGAGCTTTTCTGTCACATGGAAGTAACTAACTTCTGAAGAGATTCTGGTTGGTTGTCCTGGTCATTGGGTGCAGGTCTATATACCTGTTTGCTAAGACACACACACACACACACACACACACACACACACACACACACACACACACGGGGAGGGGGTCGGGTGCTGCTATTCTTAAGCCAGGAGCTCTTTGTTCTCCTCCCATTTCTACACTCTGCCGTGTGTCCCAGGTCACCAAGGGTTTGGGAACTGGATTCACTGGATCGAACACTCCCTCTCTCATTCAGCAAACACTGCCGTATGCTCCCCAGGTCCCAGAGAGGGTGAAAGATGCAGAACTGAGGCAGCTGAGCAGAATGTTAGGAGCCTGGGCTACAGACCCAGGCTGACCTGTGCGAGTGACTTTGTCTCTCAGCCTCAGTTCCCCCCCTTCGATTCCCCAGCAGCTGCGGCAAAATCGCAAGTGGCTGTAAAAACATGCTGCTCCAGCCGACCAGTGACGGCATTGGGGAGGTCTGCATGTGGGGCCGGCACGTCTTCATGGGCTACCTGGAAAAACAGGAAGAGACCACGGAGATCATCGACGAGGAAGGCTGGCTACACAGCGGGGACTTGGGCTTCATGGACAACCAGGGTTTCCTCTACATCACTGGCCGCATCAAAGGTACTGGGGCCGGGCTCTGCAGGGGTCTCCTGCAAACAGGCCCATCTGAGCATTTAAGGGGCTGGCAGACCAGCGCAAACCCAGGCCTCTGTTTCCTGTCCGGCATGGGGCGGGGGTGGGAGTGGGGGCGGGGGCATCACATGGATATACAGGGCCATCCTGTTCTGCACATCCCAGTTCTGTCCTGGAGAACAGCATCCTCCGCAGAATGGACCTGGGAAAGACGCCCACCCCATTCCTGAAACCTGTTTCCTGCCCTGTAATTTGAGATGAATAATAACCCACAGGGTTATAACGATGGAATAAGGATTCAATGACATGACATAGAATAGGGATGGGCCAGCTTTTCCTATAAAGGGCCCAATCATAAATATTTTTGGACTTGCAGGAATATGGTCTCTGTCGCAGCTATACAACTTGGCAGAAGGGTAGCGTAGAAGCAGCCACTGACAATATGTAGACGAATGGATGTGACTGTGTGTCATGTAATTTTCATGTGTCACAAATATCCTTTGGATTTCCTCCCAACAATTTAAAAATGTAAAACCCATTTTTGGCTCGTGGTCGTACAAAAACAGGCAGAAGGCTGAATTTGGCTTGCAGGCTGTAATTTACCAACCTCTGGTGTAGACAGAGCATTTGGCCCTGAGCCTGACATAGGGAATGACTATTCAGTAAGTGGGGTTCTTAACCAAGTTTGAATGAAAAAGGGAAGCAGGTTTGAATGAAAAAGTCCAAAGGGTCTTGCTTCAGGCATGGCTGGATCCAGGTGCCAAAACAATGGCAAAAGGAATCTCTTTATCCTTCTCTTACTGCGCTATTTTCTGTGTTGGGGCCATTCTTTTTTTTCTTTTCTTTATTGATTTCAGAGAGGAAGGGAGAAGAAGAGAGAGATAGAAACATCAATGATAAGAGAAAATCATTGATCAGCTGCCTCCTGCACGCCTCCTACTGGGGATTGAGCCCACAACCCAGGCCTGTGCCCTCGGCCAGAATCGAACTGGGGCCCTTCAGTCCGCAGGCCAGTGCTCCACCCATTGAGCCAAACCAGCCAGGCTGCTGGGGCCATTCCTGAAGAGGCTTTTCCCCATTTGGTGTCAGGATGGCTGCCAACAGGCTAGGCTTATCCTGCCCCTGAGGGATAAGAGTGTGTCATTACTCATAGTTTCAGCACGAATTACTGTAGAGCATGGATTGTACTGATTGGTCAGACCTGGTCACATGCTCACCCTGTAGTTCACCTGCCAAACCACATAAAGATGGAGAGTAGTTCCTTAAGGAAACATCCCTAAGGGTGCGTTTATCCAAAGGAGGAGCCACTGGGCAGACACCACCCCGATGTCCATTAAGTGATCATATTATGACGACGGCCGTAACCACATCAGAAATGCGATGACTGCGAGGCCCTGAGATGAGATGGAGAGAGTTTGGGTGGGTGGAGCGAGAGTGGCCAGCTCCTGGGATGAAAGGACAATGTAGCTCTTGGAGAATTCTAGAGGCCTGGGGGAGAAAGACACACCGCACTTTTCAGACAGCCAAGGGATGTGGCACAAAGCCTCCCGGTGAGACTGGACGTAGGTTCTTTTGAGGCTGCCAAGTGGTGGACAAATCAGGGGACAGAGAGACGGGCTGTGACTGGGAGCAATTCACTATCTTCCAAGCAAGGAGAGGGCCTGGAGCAGGGATGGGAAGCTGCAAAGTAGGCCGTGAATTAATAAGACCCTGTCCGCGTGGAAGGCACAGGTTTCAGACACTTCATGGGAATTGGAAGAAATAGGGGAGAAGGGGGCAGGGGAACATGGGGTCAGTGGGTTAGACAAGGGCATGGTGGGAGTCCGGGCCAAGGGCAGGGCGCCTCTGCTGCTTCTGGGGTTTTCTAGGTGAATGGTTGTCCGTGCCAACACCTGCCCCCTCAGAGCCTCAAGAGGGCGGGGGTTTCCCGTCGCCATAGTTGCACCCACAGACGGAGCCCTGTGTTCCAGAAATGCTCATCACAGCCGGCGGCGAGAACGTAGCCCCTGTGCCCATCGAGAACAGGGTGAAAGAGAGGATCCCCATCGTCAGCAACGCCCTGTTGGTGGGAGACAAGGCCAACTTCCTAAGCATCCTGCTGACGCTGAAGGTAACTGGGCGTCCTGCGGGCTCTCGGCCCCAGGGTCCAGAGGGCGCGCTCCTGCCAGTTCCCAACCTTCCTCTTGGTCCCGAGGGCTGGTTGGGCGTGCATGGGGGTGTTGGGCGCGGTGACAGGGCTGTTCTGGGGGCAGTGTGAGACAGATGAGACGACTGGAGAGCCGCTGGACAAACTGAACTGGGAGGCCACCAAGTTCTGCCAGGACCTGGGCAGCCAGGCGTCTACCGTGTCTGAGATCGTGGAGCTACAGGACCCCCTGGTCTACAGCGCCATCCAGAAAGGCATAGACGATGTGAACCAGGAGGCCACCTCCAATGCGCAGAAGATCCAGAAGTGGGTCATCTTGGAGAAAGACTTCTCCTTCTACGGTGGAGAGCTGGGTGAGCGGCCTGGGGAGCTGGGGCCTTGGCTCCCGGAGGCTGGTCCCCGGCTAGTCCAGGGCCATGTGGGCTCTGAGACCTGCCCTATTCTGGGGGCCAGAGGGTCTGTGGGACCAGCTAGAGACACATAAAGGGGTGCTGGCTCCTCTATCTGACTGGCGCCCAGCTCCCCGCTTCTCCCCAGGGCAGCCACACTCCTCCCTCTGGGACTAGAAGCCCAGCTCCTCACTACGGCTCCATGTGAGCTCTCTCCTGGCCTTTCCTTGTCACCGACGCCTTCCCGGGGATATGGCAGGGGTGGCGCACCCAGGAAGTGGCCACCAGCTAGCCCCGGCCACGCAACCCCGTTGCCTGGTCCTGTGCGGGGCACGTGGACTTTTGTGTTCTCTCCACAATTGAACTGGTTTCTCCCCCACTAGGCCCAACAGCAAAGATGAAGAGAAGCTCCATAATCCAGAAATACAGGAAGCAAATCGAAAACTTATACCACTGACTTGACTGGCAGAGCCGCTCCCGGCCGTCCCGAGGTGAGACCGGCTCCCCTGGGCCGTGCCTCAACTGAGTCCAACAGCGACGGCCTCCCCGGCGAGAGGGGCAGGGTCTGTGAGCAGAACTGCAGAGGCTACGCGGACAAGCGCACGGACGCTTCAGTTGCTGTGGGTTCTGGGTAGTGTCCAGCCCCAACTCATGCTTTCTCTCCTAGGGTCATGGCAGGGCACGTAAGCGCCTCCATGCCTGGCCACCACCATCGTGGCCTTTGCCACTTGTCTCAAAGATGAAGCAGAGCCATCTTCCCAGCCAGGACTAGAGGTTTTCGTTAAACACCCAAATGTTTCATTGTGGCCGATCTGGAGGCCTTTTGTCAGAGCCCTTGGGGGCGGGGGGGGGAGTTCTACATGTCAGAAACCCAAGGAATGACATGTGCTGGCCCATCACAGATGGTAAGGGGTGGAGGCTTGGACTGCTCTGGCCACTCCTTTTCCTCAAGTCTTGTCCAGAGGAGCCCCCATGACACCACGACATAGGGTGCAGGCAGAGAGGACAGCGCATGGGCAGCTGCCGTAAGGGCTTCATGGTCAAATCATTCTCTTCTGATGCCCCCAGCCAACACACCTGCCTCCGCCTACTAGGGCTGCTGTAACAGGCACCGGACTTGGGATCTTAAACAACAAGAATGTTCTTTTCTCACCGTTGGAAGCCGAGACCCAGGCAGGGCTGGTTCCTTCAGAGGCCTCTCCTCTGCTTGTAGAGGCCATGCTCTCCCTGTGTGTCTGTGTGTCCGATGGCCCCCTTTTGATAGGGACACCAGTCACATGGACTAGGCTCACCCTAACGACCTCATCTTGGCCTGATTACCTCTGTCTGCAAAGACCTCTCTCTCCCAACAGTCACATCCTGAGGTGCAGGGGGTAAGGACTTCAGCATATGGATTTAGGGGAGGGGGGCATGATGCAGCCCGTGCCACCACCATCACCCATTTTCTTTTCCTCATCAGTCACTGGTTTCACTCTGCACCTTCATTTGTCAGTCTTGGGGGAGGGGGGGAGCCCAGCAGTTAAATACGTTCATCGTTCTTCATCTTTTGAAAGCTGCCCAGTCTCATTTTGCAATTGGCAAGATCCATCGACACGGGGACACGGACCCCCTATACCTGTGCTGTCCAGCAGGGCAGACATGGGCCGCAGTGTGGTGCTGTGGTTCAGATCGAGGGGTGCTGTGAGTGTAACGTTCTCTAACGGAGAATGTATTCCATCCCACTCATATTTTACAGTATACATGACATGTTGGGATGATAATATTTTGGATATATTGGGTTACATAAAAGACACCATTGAAATCAATTTCTCCAGTTCCTTTCTTGGTGGCTACTAGAAAAATGTTAAGGAGATATATAGGTGGTTCACATGATATTTTCCTTGGACAGCACAGCTCTCAAGTTCATTGGAGAGGGATTCACGTTTTTCTAACTTATAAACGGATCCATTCATTCTGGAATATTTTCATCTTATGGTGACTGTGGGGCCTCACGGAATGAACACCTTTTCCAAGGACCCCCAGGTGCTAACTTGGCTGTCTCTTCTCTCCAGCTCCGGCAGGCAGAGCCCATCTTGGCACATGATTTGCTGCTCTGGGCAGGGACTTTCTCTCTGTTTTTAAGAAGCCAGATTCTGTCGGTGCCAGTCTCTTGTTGAAGACGTGCCCCATCGGGACCTGCCATGCTTCCACGTGGCAGGGTCGTCGCAGCTATTTGAATTCCGACGAACCTCCCAGACGTGATCCCCTGCCAAGGGAAGCTTCTGGGAGGTCTGTGAAGAGCTGCCTGTTTTAGAAGAAAGACCTGACCTTGTGGGTTTCAAATCGGTGTGTTTTTCTCCCCAGAGGACGGACTGAGACATCAGAAAGAAACACATTCACAAGTTCGAAGATCTGGGCTCCCAACCACCTCGCCTTCTAGGAAGCAACTAGGAAACCCTCCGAGTCAGTTCCGATAATAAAGTGCATCAGCACCTCATGTCCGGACACAGCTTGTCCTTTGTTGAGAAGCTCAGTGCTGGGTTCCAGTTCTGGCTAGCTGTGCGTTAGCTCAGTGTTCTGAGTCTCGGGGGTGTTTTTCTCTGTGAAAATAGAGCCCCACCTCTCAGGGTCGCTGTGAAGGTCACTGGGATGACAGAGTGCGCGTCTGATGCTGGAAGCCCAGGCACGTTAACCGTGATCATCAGGGCACCCGGTTGGCCATGGTGAACAGCTATCATTTCCTTTTTCATTTAGGTAGAGATCAATTTTATTATCAGCTATGGTTTTTTAAAAATTGATTTTTAGAGAGAGAGAAAGAGTGAGGGAGAGATGGATTTGTTGTTCTGCTTATTTATACATTCACTGGTTGGTTCTCGTATGTGCCCTGACCAGGGATTGAACCCACAACCTTGGCATAGTAGGATGACGCTCTAACCAACTGAGCTATTGGTTGTTGCTAATGCAGAGGGAGTAGCAGATTCCAGGAACAACTGGGACGCACACTGGATAGGAATTAATAACTGAGAGAGAGAGAGAGAGAGAGAGAGAGAGAGAGAGAGAGAGAGAAAGAAATACCATGTGCTAGAGACACGTCGATCGGTTGCCTCCCTCATTCACCCCAACTGGATCCAGGAAATTGAACCTGCAACCCAGGTGCATGCCCTTGACTGGGAATTGAACCTGTGACCTTTCAGTGCATGGGCCAACGCTCTCCAGGGGTCCTCAAACTACGGCCCACGGGCCACATGCAAATACAAATATTGTATTTGTTCCTGTTTTGTTTTTTTACTTCAAAATAAGATGTGCAGTGTGCATAGGAATTTGTTCATAGTCTTTTTTTAAACTATAGTCCGGCCCTTCAACGGTCTGAGGGACAGTGAACTGGCCCCCGGTTTAAAAAGTTTGAGGACCCCTGGTATAGAGAGTCCCAACACTACCATACTACACAGTACTCACACACAAAAAAC